CCCCCAAACCCCCTACCCAGCCAGCCCAGCCCCCTATTACTGGTCCAGGCCGGTTCCGGATTTCAAGTCTGGGCCGGTCCAGAACCGGTCCAACCCAGCCCGTTTAACACCTTTACTAAAACCTAACAACAACAATACCATTGATCAACCAAACCCTAATGTTGACTAATATGATCCCAACTCCAAATCATAGTATTGGATCGACCACGACCACGGTCACCTCTGCCTCTGCCTTTACGACTCTAATTTATTCCCACTTCCAACTTACCTCGAACACCACCATGCCCGATGCCTCGGTATCTCAAACCCGACCACCTTCTTCCACGTCAGCCCTCGGGCTATTGCTCCAGTCTACAAAATTCAAAGAAATGATGGAAATGACATTGGCAGCTAAGTGCCGCCCGAATCTGTTGAATTTTCTGATCCACTACAAAGTAATTTTCCTGAGGATATAAAAACCTATTTTAACATTCAAGAATTTGGTAATTTTGGTCATGACCAAGGAGAGGATATGAATATTTTTAATGAGATCAACTCCTTCATGCAGCCACTTTTGCAATTTGATTTTGATGCTTAATTACTCAAGAAAAATTGATATATCAGATCAATATTTTTGAAAAAAATATGTAGCTGATGAGGAGATAATGGAAAATTCTTACATAGGAAGTGTGCATATCAATATTCCATCCACTTACTGAGAAGGAGCTTCTCATTTGGCTGATAACACTTCCTATTTAAGTATTTTCCAAATGTGATTTAGGTATTTGTTTAGGAGAGTATGCATTGGCTATTGGGACAATTTATTGTAGATAGATGAAATAAAAGTTTACATTAACATTTGTTTTTTTTTTCTCATTTGAATAAAATAAATACAATGATTTCTTTCTCATGTTTACTTGACTCGTTTGCCCGTCTATGTTCGGAATTTCCATAATTATATAGTGTTGTTAATATATGGAGTAACACTATTTTTCAATTAGTCTGTTTAAAAGGATTGAAAACTTTCTATATCGGTAACGTGTTTAATATTAAATTTTTGTTTTAATTACAGTGTTGAGACAATGAATCAAGACGATTTGTATTTCCTTATATCATATGTTATTTGTAGAGATATTGATCTCGAGTTTTTAATTTATCGATTCATTTGTATCTTTCATGGGACTGAAGATCACTAAAAAAATAATACGAAAAATTGGTAAATAAAATACACGAGACTTTAAATTGGGCAAAGATCACTTTTAGTCCGCAGCCGAAACTATTTACATCTTGTAGCTGCAAACTGTATAAATTTCGACCACATACTTCGCCGCTTCTTGGGCCATTTCGACAAACGACGACTTGGGAACTCTTCCCCTAGTACTATCTTGGCTTAAATATTCTAACGATAGATTTTGACCCATATAGTTATCCTTTTTTTTTTACTAATAGATGATTTCTTTTTCTTGAACCTGATATTTAGACATAGAGTATTGCTACATACAAACCCTAACTATTACATTATTGTCTATTTTCGAACAAAAGATTGTCCAAATTAACTTAGTAATAAGTCATACAGATGAAGTTATAATTGGTAACGAGATAATTGCGTACTAATCCAAATCATATATTAAGTTAGATTACGAAAAAACTTAGCGGTATTAATACACAGTACTTCCCCCTAGCTCCCCATTATATCTCAAAACATAAAACAACTCACTACAATCCGTATTCTAGGGTTTCTAAAAAAATTCTTGCATTGATATGGCTATGGCTACAACAGATAACGGATATGAATGGAAGAAAAAATTGCCACAAGGCGTCAGATTCAAGCCGACGGATGAAGAACTGAATTCATATCTGAGAATTATCAATGAGCTTGATATTTATAAGTATGACCCTAAAGAGCTATCTGGTATATTTTCCTAACCCTAGCTATTACAATTACACAACTTTTCTTGAAGACTATTGTTGATCACGAATGATAATTTTGTGTACTAAATTGAGTTTCTTAGATTTTTCTTCTTGTTGTTGAGTTCATATTAATTTATCTTTGTATTATCCGAACTTGATGATCAAGTTTGTTCTCTGTTATAGTTTAGTCCATTCATACCCTTTTGTTAACAAACTGTCTCGTATATAGCCCTTGCCATTAACAAAGCTCTAACATGAAATTGGTCGAGTACTCCACGCAGTGGCGGAGCCATAATTTAAAGATAATGGGTTCGGGATTCTATTACTAATTCTAAGTTACTGGGTTCTAAATTAATAATTTGTATATATTCAATAAATTTTTAAAGACAAATATAGAATTTGGATTAAAGCTACTGGGTTCGCTGAACTCGTGTCCGGAGCTCTAGCCCCGCCCCTGACTCCATGTGTCCAAATTCTTCGACACGTACCCTCTGGTTGGCGTCAGGGGTCAAGGGCAAAAACCGAAACTTTTTTTCTAATGATTATTAAACCAAAAGTCTAACGGGGAAAAGTTGCTCAATTTCGAGTTGTACATGATAATATTTAACTTTGTTTTCCTAATAATTATTGTTCAAGAATGATATTGGTATACTAATCTGAGATTTTTTTTTTTTGGGTGTTAGGGTTTGCTATTAAACATAGCGAAGGACGTATGTACTTCTTTACTCCATTAACAAATAAGTATGAAAATGGAAAGAAAATCCAGAGAAAGATATATTCTGATGAAGGGTTTTGGAAAGCCTCACAAGCACGTAGTGATCATAGGGAGAAGAATGGAGCTATCATTGGAACAAAAACTAACCTTGTTTACTATGAATATAAAGGTCAAAAGAAATCCAAAGGCACAAAAACTTCTTGGCTTATGCAGGAGTTTAGATTACCAGAAAATCATCATCCTCGTCCACTATTCAATGGGGTAACTTTCTTTCTCTTGCTTTCAATTCTTTTCAATTTTCTTTTAGTATGCAGTTGGAATTTTCATAATTTTGGATCTTTTCTTTCTTTTTGTAGACAATGAATGAGCTAATAATTTGTGTGATCTACGATAATGGCAGAGTGAAGGATGATGACCAAGTAGTTATATTGACACAATGTAATCATCATATTCCACCACAAACTCCAAACCCTAACCTTCCATTCAACCAAAATTTTGATCAATCACCATATACTTTTCCCATCCACCATAATCCTAATTATATATCTCATCATGATAATAGTTCCCAGGAAACTCCAAATTCC